TAGAGGCGACAGGCTGTTTCATGATAGACGCAATCGTGAGGTCTGAGGATTGCGTCTATATGACGCAATCATGTCGGTCTAAGTGTTGACTTCAATGTTCACTATATATATATATATATATATATATATATATATATATATTCAAGCATGTTTGCTTAAATACTCATATGTCTATTTTTATTTTATAATTTTTTAGTGTCTATACAAAACTGAGTAAGGAAAATATTGTAATTCGCCATATGATTTTTTATTTTCCAAAATAGTTTCGATCCCATCCAAGATCATCTTCAGGAGTGAATTGCTAAGACAAAGAATTAATGTAAATTATGAATATGTGTGAGCATGAACGCTGTAAATTTCGAAAAAATTACCGCTATATAAGGAAAATAGGTTAATGTACGTAAATTCTTTATTAAAAATTGTAATTACGTGTTTTAAGATATTTTTTTAATTGTAGTTTTTAACAATTACAGTTTTGATATTTTAAAAGCTTGGTATTATAAACATTTTAGAAATTTGTTGCTATAATCAGAATTGATAATAATCTCTATATAAAGGGCTTCTCTTTATATAAAGGGCTTATATATATATATATATATATATATATATATATATATATATATATATATATATATATATATATATAAATGACAATAGGAAAACTGTAGTTATTGCTGACGTGTTTCGTCCAATGTGGACTTTATCAAAGCAAAAACGAAAAAAAAAAAAAAAAGACTGAGAAAGTCCACATTGAACGAAACGCGTCAGCAATAGCTACAGTTTTCCTATTGTCATTTATATTTATAAATATTGTCTTTTCTACATGTTAACTCTGAGAAATTTTCATATATATATATATATATATATATATTCCCAAGCAGATAGAATCCAGGTAGAACTCAATGTCCAGGACAGAGAAAGAATATAATATAAAAGGCTCAAACACTAATATTCCATGGTTATAATTTATTATATTGGAATCGTAATCACGATCCAATTCCTCAGACTCACACACACACACACGCACACACACACACACACACACATATATATATATATATATACACGTTTCATTAAATAATATAGACAAGTGTTGTCTCTTTATTTTATGTAAAATTTTTTCGTAACGTCTGTTATGTTTAATAACATTATCGTTGAACGAAGAAAGAAATTCACAATATTGATCCATATTTTTTTAATACAATCTAAGCTTTCGGCTTACATAAGCCATTATCAAAGATGTCAATTACAACATATTAAGCAATATACGGAAAAAGGCAGTGATGACAGTCTGTGAATGTTTACATAGATGATTTCTAAGCAATGATAAACACATCCATATAAGACGCTAGAGCGAAAATCGCACCGCATCTCATGACGTCACACATGACCACACGAGAATGAATTGGAGAAGTATGAAGTATGGAAAGCCGATGGTATAAACCAATGGCTTCTGTTACTAATTATAGACATTTAAGAATATTTAAGAATATATATATATATATATATATATATATATATATATATATATATATATATTCGTAAAGCTTTTTGAATTTGTAGGTCTGATGAATTGGATCGTGATTACGATTCGAATGTAATCAATTTTAACCATGGAATATTCGTGTTTCAGCCTTTTATCTATCTATCTATATCTATATATATATATATATATATATATAAAGAAAGAAAGAAAGACTTGTACCCAAATGATTAGGAAATAGATTTAAACAAAATGGCCGTCATTATTTAACCTTTCTACTAACGATTTTTCAAAAGGTTATCGTTGGCGAAGCAAGAAATATTCGGTGGCGCAAATATAAATAACGAATGAGGAGGGAAAATTGGAATACGATTAAAATAAATTTTAATAATAAATAAATTGACGACTAAAAAATTAAGTTCCAAAAAGAGTATAAAATGGAAAAAAAAATTACTCACAATCCCTCGTTCAAACGTAAGTAACTAATAAAACGCTCCTTTTGTTTACATAGGAAATTTGATGTAAACAGTTTCAGGGACTCGGTGATGGTTAACTGAGCTAGCTCTTTGTAAGATGGAAAAAATGCGTTATCATAAGCGGCGTCACAATCAAGAATGTCCAGCAAATGCTGCCCAACGGAAGAATCGTGTACTGCTTGAGTGGTTCTGACTACTCGAATACAATTAGGCAGGTACATGTTGCGTTTTCTGGCTCTGATCGGTCCGTCCTATATACACCGTGTTGCGACGGCATTTTAATTTATATATGACAGAACTGTTTTGAAAACAGAAGAACTGATCCTTACTGAAGGATTCTGAGTGACCTTTTGTTTCCATTTTACACTCTTCTGGAACTTACTTTGAATTTTAATTTCTTTACTTCGATATAAGGTTGTCCGACGATGTTAGATGTGGATCTTTGTTGCCTGTAAGTTTGATGCTATGCATTCCCGTAAATAACGTTGGATTTTATTTTGTCTTGTCGGATGAAACTGCCTATTTGAAATCTATGGATTAC